TAGTGGTTACAAATCGGGCTGTGAACCACAAAGTCAGCAGTTTGAAACTACCAGCTGCTCCGTGGGAGAAAGATGAGGCTTTCTGCTCCCGTAAAGATTTACAGCCTCGGAAACCCTGTTCAGGGTTGCTATGGGTCAGAACCGACTCCATGGCACTTAACAACAACAACAACTTCGTAGGTGAGCAAAATGAACAAGAAAGATTAAGTAACTTTCTTGAAATCAAACCCTGGCAAGCAGTGATTCAGCCATGTCCTATGTCCGATTCTAAACTACAAGTAAGGATGCCTCAAGCATATTTATTAATCATACATTCAAATAAGCTTTTATTTAAATAAATGGACAACCTAATACCAAAGGGCTCAATTTATACGTCTGATAAAATAGCTTTAGACAAAAACATGCTTAAATAAAAAATCCCACTTGCCTTTGTCCCTAATAAGACAGAGTAGAACTGCTTCTTAAGGTTTCTATCCCATCATTCTCCTTCATCCAGGGTTCAAGATAAAGTGGTGCTTATGATCACCGTAACAACTGACTTAAATATGTCACTGGCCTTAATACAAATCAGGAAGAGTGCAGTGGTCCCACCAACAAGTAAGGAAGCAAAGATGTGATGAATGAAGTGAAACTTGTCCTTTAAGCTTTCACCCCTTTTATTAAAACTACATAGTCCTTCCCTTTCACACTTAAATACTGTTGGTCTCTATTTGTATAACTAAAAATCATTTGCTGTTAAAAGGATCCTTTTAATAGCAAAAACTTAACAACACACCAAAAAACCAGACAACCCAACAGCATTTAAAATACGAGTAAGATAGTCATGGGAAATTATCATTACTTAAAGACTGTTATATTAAATTAACTATAGAGATTCAATGTAATTGTTATCAAAATTCTAAAAATATTTTCTGTAGCATTTGACAAAGCTGATTTTTAAGTTTATTTGGAAGAACTAAGGGTAAGAGCTGGTAACAGCCAAGAAATTCTGAAAGAAAAGCAGATAATCGGTACCTCTAATACTTAAAATTTCTAATGGAGACTAAACTGATGTACTTACACTGGAAAATAATTTAGCATTATTTAGAAAAGTTGTCTATGCATAAACCTCTTACATAAATACACTAGAAAAACTAACATATAAACAAGGAAAAATAGTTAACTTTCACACTAGAATTGTACTTTTAGCACAAAAGTAAAAAACAAATGGCCAATGAGAATGAAAAAACTTAGTTTCATATCATGAAATTTTACTAAGTGAAGTGACTTTAAGATAAAAGAGTAACATTCCAGTTAAATTGTTCAAGATGTTTACACATGATATTGATCCAAAGATGATTTGCTGGAGTACTTTTTAGCTCTTTATTTAAGTCAAAATGTATTGCTAAAAACCATAAAAACCTTTATTAAAAATGTAATAATCTGATGTCACTGTCTCTCAACATATCCTCCATCTAGGTCTACACACTTCAGAATGTATAGACCTCCTCTAGACCTAGCTATGGAGGATATGTTGGATTTATCTCTTACATCAATACAAGAGTTTTGGCATTCTTGTGGGAACTCAAATTATGTTCCTCTGAAATGGGTTTTTGAAAGGGCAAGATCAGGGCTAACAGTAGATGGGGTAAGGTTTCCCAAATAAATTTAAATAGATCAGCTCTCCCTATTCTTGAAGAATGAACAAGTTCATTGATGTGTTGAAAATTTCCTTGGGGCAACTTTCCTGACCTTTTTGAAAACAGTGCAGTTATCTATTATCTTAATAGATAATCTATTAAGATTATCCTGGTGGAGCCCAAAGAAACAATAGCCATAATCTAAGCTTCTATCTCTGCCTTGGCTTGAACTGGCCCAACAGATCCCTTTGGAAGCCTGTTTTGATTGGACTGTATTTTTTCAGACATCCTAATGAGTCTAACTTTCTGCTCCCGTAAAGATTTACAGTCTCGGAAACACTGTACAGGGTCGCTATGAGTCAGAACCGACTCCACGGCACATAACCACCACCAATGAGTCTAGGGAGCTCTGGTAGTGTAGTGGTGACAAGCTGGGTTGCCAACCGCAAGTTCAGCAGTTCGAAACTACCAGCTGTTCCGTGGGAGAAGGATGAGGCATTCTGCTCCCATAAAGATTTACAGCCTTGGAAACCCTGTACAGGGTCGGTATGAGTTGGAACCGACTCCACGGTACTTAACAACAATGAGTCTAAGGAGTCCTGGTATGGCAATGTCAGTTAATGCAATGGACTGCAAAGCCGGTTTGAACCACAAGGTCAACAGCTCAACCTCACCAGCTGCTCCTAGACAGGGTCTATGGGTCGGAACCACCGACTCAACAGCACTTAACAAGTCTAAGAAGTCCTGGTGTGGCACTGTGGGCTAATGCACTAGACCCAAAGGTCTATTTGAATCTCAAGGTCAGCTGTTCAAATTCACTAGCCACTCCTCAGAAACCCTATACTGGGTTGCTATGAGACGGAACCAACTATACGGCACATAACGAGTCTGAAACAAGTCCTGGTGTGGCGCTATGGGTTAATGTGCTGGATTGTAAGGTCAGTTTGAACTGTAAGTTTGGTGGTTCAAATTCACCAACCACTCCTCAGCAACACTACACAGGGTCACTATGAGTCACAACTACCTCGATGGCACTTAACAAGTCTAAGGAGTCCTGGTGTAGCACTGTGGGATAAAGAACAGGACAACAAAGGCAGTTCAAACTCACCAGACGCTCCTTGTAAACCCCATACAGGGTCACTGAGTCGTAATTGACTCAACAGCACTTAACAAGTCTAAAACAAGTGATTATTGAGAAAATTTGTCTGCAGCCATCCACTGATCATGGAGACATATTTAAGCATGCTTTTATTTGGAATAACCCTGTGCATCTATGAACTGAAACCCCAGTAGCAATACTTTTTGCCAAAGCCTAGTACATTGTATAATTTAAGACTATTCTTACAAACTAGTGTAAAACTGTCAAATAGTGTCTACTTTTGGCTGTTTTTGTTTCTAACTTTGTCTATGATCTTTTTGAGGATGTTTAGTGACCTCTTCCAAACCTATTTTAATATATGTCAACTAAGTCACTTTCCCCAACTCCTCTAAGAAATTCTTTGACATAAATCATAAGGTTGTTGTTAAGTGCCATTGAGTCGATTCCCACCCATAACAACCCCGTATAGGGTTTCCAAGGAGCAGCTGGTGAGCTTAAGCCACCGACTTTGCAGTCTGACACATTAGCCCTCAGCACCACACCAGGACTCATAAGGTTAAGTATATGTAATTAACCTGGATTTTATTTTATTTTAAATCATGTATGCTGTGGTGCTGGGGGAAAGCACTGGACTGCGATAACATCAAGGGTGTCAGTTCAAACCTAACAGCTGATCCTTGGGGCAAGATGTGGCTTTATGCTCTACAAAATATTCACAGTCGTGGGAACTGCATATAGGATTGCTGAGTCCAAACTGACTTTGAGGCTCTGGTAGTGTAGTGGTTTCGAATCGGGCTGCTACCCTCAAGGTAAGCAGTTCGAAACTATTAGTGTTCTGCAGGAGAAAGATGAGGCTATCTGCTCCCATAAAGATTTACAGCCTTGGAAACCCTGTACCGGGTCACTATGAATCGGAACCGACTTTCCGACACACACCACCACTACCTCCAAGTTTAAGAGGTAAAACCACTTTCCTTCCCTGTGTGATATTACCACATTTTACCAGTAGAGGGAGTACGTTACCAAAGACTAGACCTTCACATAGACACTTGATACTATAACCACATAGAATCTTGTTACTATAATCTTTCTTTTCCCAGGGTTGAGATAATACAAGTAACTCAACTCTAAGGGACACTGATGGTTCTCAAAGGATAATCACTGAACTGCTATCCATGAAGTTGATAGTTAAAAACCCACCAGCTGCTCCACAGAGAAAACATGAGGCTTTCTGTTCCTGTAAAGCTTTACAACCTCGGAAACCCTAACAAGTGAATTCTGATTCATAGATACCCAAGAAGGCAGAGTAGAAATGCCCCACAGAGTTCCCAAGGTGATAATATTTTCTTTCTCTCATGGGACAGCTAGCTAAGCGGATTCCACTGAACTTTCAGTTAGCGTCAGACAAGCAATTAACTACTATGCCACAAGGGCAGTGAAATATCAAACACTTTTAGGAATTGGATTATTAGGCTAGTCAAATTTTCTCCACTATTTCTTATAATGTTTGACAATTACTACAAGATTGAACATAACATGTTCAAAGTAATACTACACAAAGACAGCTGGCTAGTTTTATCTTGCAGTACTGGTGTTAAACAGAAGAGTACAAAAAGAGGAGGTTTTAAAGAGAAAATTATGCAACAGTCAGAAAAGCCCCCACTAGATAACTTTTAAAAAATTTACAAGTATACATAATTATGGTGTTGACATCTCATAAGGAAAGTACTATTGAGTCGATTCCGACCCATAGAGACCCTGTATAGGGATTCCAAGAAGTGACTGGTGAGCTTGAACCACCCACCATACAATTCAAACAACTTTGCAGTCTGGCGCATTAGCCCACAGTGCCATATAGATGAAATCAGCTCAACTACTA